TCAGAGAAAGCCGGGGGGGAACTGTTATAATCAAAGGGATTAAACCCAATTAAAATTTAAAAAAAAGAAAAAAAAAAAGAAAAAGAAAAAAAAAAGAAAGGTTGGGGGGGGAGGAGGAGTCAGAATGGCGGCCACAGGCAAGAGTACGAGCAAATAGACAAGGGAAGGCAACATCAGCTTGCAACAGGAAAACAACCATGTCAAGTCAATTATAGCCACTACGGCATCATCCGACCGGTCCATTGGATTAGCGACTAGGTTCATTTGTCAAAGCATTATGACTTTTTTGAAGTTTTTTCTTTTTTTTTTAAAGGTCAGCGATATTCTTCCCTCAAATTATTGCCTTACGTTTGTGATGATTGTGTGCATGCAGTCACTGAAGTCAACGACTGCTTCCACAAACCGATCGAGGCGAAGAAAGGACAGAAGGTCTGCAATTTATTTATTTTTTTCATTTTTATAAATTTTATTTTTATTTTTTCAGAATTCAAAATATTGATTGCACTACAAAATGCAAATTGCGTGGCTAACCAACTGAGCTAGGCCGGAGGTTGTGCGTTCAAGTTCAAGCCCCATGCCCGCCTGCGGCACAGTTAGTGCCAACAGAGTGTGATGAATGCATGCAATGCCATGTCCTGGTGTGAGTACGCAAAGCAAGTCCAGTCCGCACTGAAGAAGAGTAGAGAAGGAGGAATGACAAAGTACAACCCAAAGAAAATTACGGCAAAGGAGAACAGTCCGCCAGCCCAACACCCGCAAAGAAAATTACGGCAAAGGAGAGCAGTCCACCAGCCCAACACCCGCTACCGCTAATGCGGAAAGCGTGTGTCCCATAAGAGGCCTACGGATATTGTACTCGCGTCAGTTATGGGAGCAAAATCATGTACGTTAACTTTGGTGGACTACGCGTCAAAAAACAGGAAAAAGGTTACCAGGCCCAGCGGGTGTGCGACTCGGACCGGTACTCGATACCAACTACGAAAAGCAGAAAAATGCAAGCTACCGACGACGGCTCAAACATCCACTACACATCCACGTCAAGCTATCAGAGAATTGCCTGGTACTGATTCAGACAAAAGAACGGACAAAAGAATGGAAAAAAAACGACGACTAACACGACGGGAATTGCCTGGTACCGTCAAGTTCCATCATCTGGATTTGAACACAGGTCTGTATTTTAACAGTTCATGGGTATACCCACTGAGCCTTCGGGACATCCGTTAAAATTGGAACGATACAGAGAAGATTAGCATGGCCCCTGCGCAAAGAATTGCCTGGTACCGGAATGCCACTGACACAGAATTCTTATGAGAACACCAAGACCGTAAAAGATTAAAAAATAATAATAATAATTAAAAAAAAGACCGTCAATACCGGTCAGAAATGACATGCAGTACTGCCACCCGTGGGCACGGAATGCAATAGTCCTCTGGATACCCCTGATCGGTATTAGAGGGGTCTATAACCAACACAGGCGTGAGTGTGAGCGCCAGTGGGTTGTGTGTGGTGTGTGGGCGAGCGTTGGCCATAGCCTAGCCTCTGCTGCTACTCGATGAGGGGTGGGGGACGATGAGAAAGGGAGGCGCAGCTACTGGGAAAATGCTCCGCCTTTGCATTAGCCAGACCCCCACCGACGGCTCCACCCCATCTCTGACTACCGCTGGTGGGGGGGGGGGCGCAACATGATTTACCTCGTTTGCGAGGCCCTATGCTTGCAGGGGTCCCCTCTATATAGTCGTAGGAGTAGTGGTAGGAAGGTAGTGAAAGGCAAAAAAAAAAAAGAATTTGAGAGAAGAGCATTATAGTGTAGTTAAAAAAAAA